TTTTTTTTTTTTTTGTACCAGGCAGTGAACTCAGGCACAGTGCCTCTGAGCTAAATCCCTGTGTCCCCCGCTTTTTGAGGCAGGTTTCACTATGTAGTTCAGGCTGGCCTTGCATTCACTATGTAGCCCAGCCTGGTCTTGAACTTGTGCTGATTCTCCTACCTCAGCCTCCTGAGTGCTGGGATTAGGAGTGTGTGCCACCATGCCTGGCCAAGTGACACTCCATCTCACTCCTGTGTTCTGGGGCTTCTCTTTCAGAGGCTGAGGGGATCCAACAGCAGAGCACTAGGACCAGACATCTCAGCGATGACCAGGTGGGTCTTTGGCAGGTGAGGGTCTCCCCCTGGGTGGAGTGTAGCCAGCTGCCCTGTGCTCATGTGTCGGGTGTCTCCAGTTCCCCTGTCTCCAGAGTTGTCTACAACGGCAAGAGGAACAGCAGCCCCCGCTCTCCCACCAACAGCAGTGAGATCTTCACGCCAGCCCACGAGGAGAATGTACGCTTCATTTACGAAGGTTAGGAACTTCCTCCAGCCCTTTCCTGTCTCCTGTCCCCAGCAAGGTGTGGGCACACCTACTCCTTTGGTGGGCTAGGCAGTTTAGGGTGACAGCCCGAGAGGACGGCATAGGGAGTGGGCAGCAGCCAGCGTCTGCAGCCTGCTGTCAGCACTGGTGTGTTGCCTGGGGCACGGAGGGAGGTGGTGGAGATGGGACACACCAGCTGCAAACGCAGAGGTTATCCCTTGAGTATCCAGAGGTGGGAAATAAGCCTAGGTCCATATGCTGTCTGCAGCTTTTGGGAACCCAGGATGGCTCAGACAGGCCATTGCTCAGAGGGGACAGGCCTATGGAGGGGTAGGGCAGGGAGGCCAGGCACCGGAGGGCACTGTCGGCTGGCGAGAGATGGGTAGGGGCAGGGGATGCTTCCGGGGGAGTGGAGGGCCTTGCGGCCTGGACTCTGTGGATATTGACCCCATTGCCTTCTGCTTGCCACAGCCTGGCAGGGTGTGGAGCGAGACCTGCGCAGCCAGCTGTCAGGTGGTGAGCGGGGCCTGGTGGAGGAGTACGTGGAGAAGGTCCCCAACCCTGGCCTGAAGAGTGAGTGGGTGAGAGGGTGGGAAGGCCACCTGTATCCTGCATGGCCGCCTATCCTGTCCCAAGACATCTGAGTCGAGGGCTTCTGGAGTAGGGGCCCTGCCTGATGCTGACTGCACTGTTCCCACAGCCTTCAAGCCCATCGACCTAAGTGACCTGAAGCGCCGGAACACGCAGGACACCAAGAAACCCTAAAGTGCCCAGTGCCCCTCCCCGGCCTGCAGAAGATCGGGGTCACTGGATGTTGGTTTCCCCCTGTCCTATGGGCCCTGCTCCTGGGAAGGGGGAAGCGCTGTGCTCCAGTGGGCACAAACCTCAGGGCCGGCAGGATTGGTGGCCGAGGCCTGCCCTTCCTCCCTGCGTCCCTCCTTCCCTGGCCCTGGAGGGGGCTGCAGCCCTGTCCGGCCCTGACCTTCATCTTTGCCCCCAAACAGTTCCTGACCCCAGCCCCTCTCTTGTCACCTGCCTTGTCCCCCATCTTGCTGTTCCTGCCTACACCCTGTCAGGATCAGGAGGGGCAGGGCCTCTGCTTCTCAGCTGGTGGGACTGACTGGTTTGTCCTGGAGATGACCAGGAAGTAGGGCAAGTGCAGCCCCACCTGCATCCAGCTTGGGTTCCCAGACCCTTGCTGCTCCTCTGGCTTAAAGACTTGGGGAGCTTCTCCCTTCATCCTCACTGTCCAGACTGCCCCTTCCCTGCCTCAGCTTCAGGATGGCACCAGCTCTCTGGGCCTGGGACAGTGCTGGCATCCCTGAAGGGGCCCCAGCAACCAGGCCTGGCCTCCTGGTGCCTGCAGCCTTGTGGCCACAACGCTGCCCTTGAGCAGGGGCTCTGTGGCTAACCCTGAGGCAGTGGTGCTGCCAGGCCTGTCCTGGCTCTCTAGAGTGTGCTGGGAGGTCACCAGGGCCCTTTTCTCTTCCTGTGCCCTCTGGAAGCCAAGTGTCTATGGCTCGGAGCCTGAGGGTCCGTGAATAAAGGCGGGTGGCACTGGGATCGGCCTCGTGGCGGTCTGTCAGGCCCCTGACCCACAGCCCACAGCGTGCTAGAATTCCCAGGCCTGGTGCTGATTCTGAGCCCAGCACTTCGGTGTGCACCCCTGGACCTGTAGTGGGTGTTTCCTGGGGGAGGGCCAGAGCTGCTCAGGCTAATTGCTGTCCTTGAAGGGCTGCAGAGACCCCCCACAATCCCCTCCCCTTCTGCACCCACTTTCTGTGGCATGAGCTGTGCACCCTGGGGGAGTTGGCTCTTCCACCATCCAAATATGGGGGTGGCTGCTGGGCTCCAGGAGAGACCCAATTGTACTTGACCTTCAGGCATGGAAACAGCCTTGGAAGGCTTTTGCTCCTGAGACAAAGCCAAACTGGAATTTATTTCAGGAACATGCTTTCCCAGAAAAGTATTCCGGGGCTCGAGTGGCCCATGGACTTCCTGGGGGTGGGGTGGGCAGGTGTCTCTAGGGGGAGAGGCTCAGGAAGGGGCAGTGGTAAAGCTACTGCTTGCTGCCAGCAGTCATGCAGCCAGGTGTCAGGCTACCCCCTGGAAACACGTGGCTTTGTTAGAGCCTGGGCATCTGTGAGGACTCTGGCAGAGGCTGTAGGAGTCTCAGGCTGTGTCACCCAAGATGGTGGGTGTGGCCCAGAAACCCAGGACCAGTGGGTGGGCACAAAGCTCATGTGGGTTCTATGCCAGCACCAAATGCTCTAGTGTTCTGCTGCACTGAGGGTGGGGAAGAAAGCGACCCAGCCTGTGTGCCCTCTGCCCTGGGGCCAGCAGAGGCATGAGGTGCATTCATGCTAGGGCCGGCCGATTTCCCAAGCACACCTGACCTGGAGCAAACATGCTGCCAAGTCTCTGAGCCTCCACTTTGCCATCATGTTGTTTTGTTTTGTTTGTTACTTATTTATTTTGGTGCCGGGGATTGAACTCGGGTCCTTGCGCTTGTAAGGCAGGCCTCCGAACCACTGGCCCCTTAATTTTTATTTTTGAGACAGGGTCTCACTATGTAGTTGAGACTGACTTGAACTCACTTTGTAGCCCAGGCTGGCTTAGAACTCATAGCTATCCTGCCTCAGCCTCCCGAGTGCTGGGATCACAGGTGTGCCCCACCATGCCCGGCTGAGCCTCCACTTTGAAGTAGCACCTATTGCCCACTTCTGGGTGGCTACCTGGTACTGAGTGTTTGGTGCTACTGTCCCTTGAAGTGCTCAGCTTCCCACAGTAAACCTACCCTACTCTGTAGTACAGCACTGTGGCTTGAGCCCAGGTCCTCCTGCTGAGCTACATCCCTGGCCTATTTTTAAATTTTATTTTGAGGTAGGTTTTGCTAAATTGCCCAGCCTGTCCTTGAATTGGCAACCCTGTCTCAGCCTCCTGAGTAGCTGGTAGTACAGGTGTGCACCACCACGCCCAACTTCAACCCCCATGGTAATTGGGGGACTGTGGCCATGAGTTTGCTGTGTGCCGTGGATACCTCCATACTGCCAGCCTGCCTCAGTTGCCCATGTGTGAAGTGGAGTGTGGGTTGTAGTCCTGCTGCTGGCCACACAGCGGTGGGCGTACCTGAAGACAGCTGGCCGTGGGAGGAGGCAGTGTGGCTGGTGTAAGTCGATCATTCTGTTGTGGTGCTCTGAAGCCCAGCTTCTTGTCAATGTGATGCCCCAGATGCCTCCAGCCTCCTGGCCTGTGCCCCTCACATTCCAGGGCTCTTCCCTGGCACTCCCCCACGAGCCCCTTGGCGCAGCCTGTGGGGACAACCCAGAGTGGGTATGAGAAGTTGCTGCATCCTGCTCACAGCGCCCAGGTCACCAGGACGGCCTGGTGCAGTGGTTGTGGCTGTCCAGGCAGTGGGTGAGCAGGTATGGGAGGCAGGCTCAGGCCCACCTAGCTCCTGCCAGCAGAATGTGAGCTTGGTGTCCCAGGGAAGGAGCCTGCGTCCAGGACCAAGTGTAGATTCGGGGTCAGAGTGGGACAACATCCCTGATGTCCACGTGGACCTGACTGCAGGCCACCCTGGAGGGGTGCATCCCTGCTCTGAGCCAGTCGGCTGTCACCTCTTGTTGTCAGAGGTGCAGGTGGCCCTCATGCGCTGGGGCAGAGGGAGCCCTGATCGGGGTGGGGCTGTCCGCTCACCCTGCACTGTTTGCAAACAGAATCCCGCGCAAGCACATCCTGCTTGTTTTCATCCAGTGTTGATGCTAACCTCAATCTATAGATGAGGGGGACGGTGCTCTCCTGTAAGGAAATTTTGCTCCCCACCTCACCCTGTTCCAAACCCAGAGTCTGGAGCATGCTAGGAAAGCAGGAGATCACTGAGGTGCACCCCAGCCCTAAGCTTTTATTTTTGTGTAAGGAAGTAATTAATACTAAGCATACCCAAACTTTCTGAACATAGTATTAGTCACAGGCCCAAGCAGTCTTCTCTGGGTGTTCAAGCACATCCAGGTGAGTCACTGACCCAGGATGCAAAGGCTGAGTGGCATGGTTCCTGAGTCCCTCTTAGCCTCTTCTTCCACTGCAGGACCTTTAATGACAGTGGCCCATTCTGCATTTGGCAGGTGCACCCTTGAATGTCAGGCCTGCCCCCCACCCCTTTATTTTGAAACAGGGTCTGGCTAATGTAGTTCAGGCTGGCTTTGAACTCATGGTGATCTTCCTGCCTCAGCCTCCTGAATGCTAGGATTGCATTTGTGCACCACTGTACAAAGGCCTGTTCTGTCCCCCACCTTTTTGTCATCTGAGATGGGGTGCTAATTTCTCCAGCTGCAGGGGCTGGGGAAGGCAGGGCTGGGGTAGGGAGGGCCGGAGACCTGTTAGGATCTGCTGCAGTGGGCCGTGGGAAGAGGCTGGGTTGGGGTGAGAGACCCAATGGATGGTGGAACATGAGATGCTGTGGGGCCCCCAGGGTGGGCAGCTGGGCCTGAAGTGTGGCTGTGGGAGGCCATGGGAGTTGGAGACAGAGTAGTTGGCTGAATACTGCTGAACTGTTGCCCTGGTGCTCCGAGTCCCTGCTCCGTGTGTGGATCTGAGTCAGCCTTCCATGGCCCTCCTGAGCCCTCTGCAGGACTTGAGGTCCCTGCCCAGCTGCCCACAGCCTGCCTTCCTACATCTGACCCTTCATTATTCTACCCCATGCCTTTTATCGGTCTCCACCCTCATCTTGGCGGCACCCGTGTTCCCACACAGCAGCCTCCCACCTCTGTGGTGGTACCAAGTACCCATGCGTTTGTCTAGGGAAAGGGGACCGGGGTGCAGGGCTGCGCCAGGTGGGGGAGGAGGGGAAGAGATGAGGAAGCAGCAGGGGACTCCCAGAATGGTGGGTGCTGGGCTGAGTGGGAAGCCGGTTCCTCCACCTGTGCACCTGCAGGCCACCTGGGCAGGGTCAGTGTTTGCTGGCCAAGTAAGTCCAGGCCTGCCAGGTCTCCGACTGCACCAGCGTACTCCAGGAGGACAAGGGCAGAGGAACTGGGGATGGGGAGGGCTGTCAACAGGCCCCAGGTGAGCGGCGAACTCCCCAGGGCAGTCAACCCCGAGCTCAGCTGACGTGAAGGAGAATTCATACCCTCCTGTGCCCATGTGGAGCTCATCTGAGCCCATGTGGGCACCCTGGTCTGAGATAGGACCTGGGCTGGGATGGGAGCTGGCCCAGAGCCCTGAAGTCAGGCCTCCAGCCGGGGTGGCCTTGTCGAATCCCACCTGAGCCCTACGAGGTACCACTCCCAGCCAGCCCCTGCCCAGCCCTCCTTGCTTCCCCAGTACCCTGCGGGTAATTCTGTCTACCTTTCCTGAGAGGCCTCCTGTCCTTTCATTTGCTCCAACTAGCCCAGCTCTGCCTGAAGGATACCTCTCTCCCAGGAGCCAGCCTCTCCTTGCAGGGCCCCCCAGAAGACCCTCTCTGACCCACCCCCAAGCTCTCTCTGGGCTTGTGCCCTCAGCCCCATGGTTCTTGAGGATAGAATGAGGAACGTTACACACCCTGTGCCTCCGAAGCAATGGCTCAGAATGTGCCTAGATACTGGGGCTCCCACCCCAAAGCATCTCCTGGCTCTTCCTGCACACAGCATGTGGGGCAGCTCATTCTCCAATGAGTGACAGTCTGTGCAGGGGTTGGGCAACCCTGCTGCCATCTTCACCTGGATCTAGGGCAATCTGGGGTCCATTTCTCCATTTCAACCTGCTGGTGCTCTGACTGCCTGCAGGCCTGTCTGGAAAACCCCTCCGCAAATTCTGTGTTCGTGTTGGACTGGCAGGACTGTGATGCAGGGGCCCCCTTCAGCCACTGCCCCCTTCACATCTCTCAGCTGGTAAAGGGATCTTTGAGCATCTGAGGACAAAGAAGGCCCCAGAGAATGGAAGGGAGGCCAGAAGCTGCTCAGGTGGGGACCCGTCAAGCTGTCTGTGGAATAGGGGTGCTGGGAAGGGCCCTCTGGAAGGAGTGGCCAGCCTGGGCCATTGCTGCTACCCCTGCATGGGCCTGGCCCGGCTGCCCACACTCTTCCACTCAGGGCATTTCCAGCCAAGCTCTCCAGGACCTTCACATGGCCACTACTTGAGCTGTTTATTGGAGGACACACATTTCCATGCACGCGGGACACCAACAACATGGGAAGCCAGAACTGCAGTCACGGTACAGCTCCCTTGCCACACCAAGTCATCTCACCGTAGGCCTAGGGGCAGGGGAGGTGTGGGAAGGAGGCCATGGGGACGGTGGGGGCAGGTGTCCAACTCAGGGCTGTTCTGGGATAGCTCTCTGGTGTGCCTGCGTCCAGCCCCAGCCCGGGCTCCAGCACAGCCTCACAAGGGGCTCTTGGCCAACCCAGGGAGGCCATTGGCCAAGGGGGTCTCTGCACAGGGGTCCTGGCTGGCCCCCTTGCTGCTGCCCTCCTTCACCAGCTGAAGCTTCTCGCAGAGGGGGCTGTGGCTAGGCCTTGTTGGTGCCGAGTGGCTGCCTGTGATGCGTTCATCCAGCAGTGCTTTGCCCTCACGCCAGCGCCACCAGCGTCGCCACAGCTCTGCTTGCACCTGTGGGTCCAGGGCTCAGACCTGTTCCAGAGCCTGCCACACATCTCCGAGGGATCCCACAGCCAGGTGAGCCCCATGCTACGCATAAATGAGGGCGCAAAGGAAGACCCCAGGGCCCAAGCCCCCACCTACCTCCTTGTTGAGGAAGCAGTAGAGTACAGCCACCAGCAGGCCCTGGAGAAGAAGGGTGGTCAGGGGTGGCACCTGTCCCCAGGGGCTCATGGGCAGGCGGGTGGTCACCTGGAAGGAGCTCAGGAAGAGGTCGAAGAAGAGCTTGGCAGAACGCAGGGTGCCCTGGGCCTGCTCGTCCGTCACGAAGGCAAAGACTACTTCATGGACACCCAGCAGGGGGATGAGGGTCAGGGTGGACCTGGCCAGCCTGTCAGGGGAGAATCCTGAGCACTTTAGCCTGCTCACCTGGGCCGTGCTCTGCCCACATGGGCCGAGGATACAAAAACAAAACAAAACAAAACAAAACACCCAACATTTAAGGGGCTGGAGATTTAGCTCAGCGGTTCTGTCGTCTACCTTGCAAGCTCAAGGTTCTGAGTTCAGTTCCCGGTTTTTTAAGAAGACCACTTGGGCTGCAGAACCCCATCCTCAGGCACACTCTGGCCCTGGGGCTCTTGGGTCTGGTCACCCCAGCTCTACCCACCGGAACTTGTAGTCAGCGTAATGCATCTGGCGGGCTCGCAACTTGGCCACGAGCAGGTGAACGATGCGGACAAAGATGCAGAAGTTGATCTATGAGGAGGGCACAGGTCAGAGTGAGCCTGGACCACTCCGGGGCCTGAGGCCCCCACCAGTCCCCCTGCAGGTGGGCCTGTGACCAGTTGGGCCCTGGGCCATGTGGCCTTGGGGCTAGTGGGCACCCAGCCAAGGATGAGCGGCCTGGCCAGCAGCCGAGAGTGCTTGGCGTCTTGGACAAACACTGGCTCTGGTCTGCATGCCTGCCTTCTCTGCTTCCTTCCTGGCAAGATGTTCCTCTCGGTGGGCTCCAGAGCCCAGGAAGGAGGGCGTGGGGAGCCCTATCAGTGCCCCTTCCTGTTTCCTCACCAGGATGGCCAGGAAGACAGGAACTCGAAGGATCCACCAGAAGCCCATGTTGTTGTTGCTGGTCCAGCACCTGTGGGGTGTCTGCTTATATCCCGGAGATGCACCTGGCCCCCACCCCCACCTCGATTCTTTTGTTTGGGTACCAGGGATCAAACTCAGGACCTTGCGCTTGTGAGGCAGGCGGCGGAATCACTGAGCTAAATTCCTGCCCCCGCAACTCGATTCTGCTGGCATCTAATGAGTGTCCCAAGAAAGGAAGGGTGAAGGTTATAAACGACTCCATCCCCAGGCACTGGGCCAGCACACACTCTGCACCACCTCTGGGCAATGTGCCCTGCCTCCCTCACTGCTCCCTAAGTCCGGTGCCCAGCCCTGGACCACCCCGGCCCAGCCTCCGACTTGCTCGTACTCACTGGATGTTCTCGAACAGACACTTGACCACCACCCAGGGGATGACAAACAGCAGGGGTGCACCTGTAGGGGCAGCGGCTGAGGTCTTGAACCCTGGCTGCCCTGTCTCCCTTCTGGCATCAGCCCACTCACCCCAGCCGATGCCCAGGTACAGTGTGAAGAAGCTCCTCTCAGGGAAGGTGGCAAGGCTCAGCAGGCTGTGCAGGTACATGCCCTCCACCAGCAGCCAGCAGTAGTTGGCCACGACGCCGTACTGCATGATCACTGCAGCCATGCGGCAGCCGGCCACCGCCTTTGTAGAACAGGATATGGTGTGAGCAGGGGTCCTAGGCCCCGCCCGCCCTGCTCAGACACGAGGGCTCACCCCGTCGCTCAGCCAGACGCTGACACTGAGGTCGTCTCCGATCTTCTGGCTGTATCGGATCTTGAGCAGCCAGTCAATGACCAGCACAGAGCCCGCCTTGAGCACGAAGGATGCAAACAGGTTCAGGTGGATGTAGTTGCGTGTGCAGTGCAGCTTGCTGTGGGGACAGTGACTCAGTGCTGGCTGTCGCATCCCCTGGGGCTGCCCACGCTGGCCTCGAGCCACAAATACCTGAGAGCCAGCAGGATGGCCAGGGCAAGGAGCAGGGCCCCCAGCGACAGGCTGTAGCCCACGGTGTACATCATTTGGAAGCGGCTGTACATCTTGGCCACCTCCTTCTACAAACCAGTGGCCGGTCAGGGCTGGGCGGGGGCTGCCTCCACTGCCCCTCCCATGGCCCACCAGGGCTGACCTGGACCTCTATTTCCTGGTCATCCATCTGGCACTGGGAGGCGTTGCGCCACGGCTGCCCCCGGGGCCCACGCACCCACTGTCCGTCAGGCCCACATTCCTTGAACACCAGGCGGTGCTGCACTGGGGCGTGGGGCGGGCTCTGGTTAGCCCTTCCCCAGGCTCACCCCCTCAGCACCCCAGGTCCTCCAGGGTTACCTTTGTGATACCAGGGCAGGTACCAGGGGCAGGAGATGTTGGCTGTGGTGTTGGGTGGGGTGTCCGGCCAGCAGGAGTACTTGTCAAAGGTTCTGTTACAGACCAGCTCTGTGAGGTGGGGCAGGGCCAGGGGCTCTTCAGAAAGACCTGGTCAGTGAGGAGCCTCCCTCCTCCTCCTGGGAGCCCCATGAACATGGCCACCTCTTCTGCAAGCCTGCAGCCCCAAGCTGCTACCTCCCTGACCTGGGCCAGGCCACCTGCCTCCCCTGGACCAACCATGCCCACCTCGGCCATGGCGCACCCTGGTCCTGACTTGCCCAGGCACCTTCCCTAGGGAACCTCTGTCTCGGGTCCCCTTGCCGGGGACTCCCTTGCCCTGCCTTCTTGAGCACCTTCCTCTTGGGAAGCTGCACCCCAATTCTGTTGGTACCCATCCGGGTCCAGACCTATACGGATCACCCCCTTCTTCTGGACAGTGCCCACCACAGCTCCCCTGCTCCAGTCTCTCCTCAGTCCTGCTGAGCAGTTCCTGCAAAGCTATGGCCAACCCCCAGCCCCAGCCTGTATGAGCCGCTCGGTCGCCTCTCTGTGAGTGCAGTGGGGGCTGGGGTGACAGGAGCACCCAGAAGCTTCCCGCAAGCTGGGACTCACCCGTGGGGGCTGGCAGCAGGCTCAGGTTGTGGTGACATTGGTCACTGTACAGTTTCCACTTCTCGAACAGGAAGTCCATCACCTGAGCGGAGGGGCCCTGTGGCTGGACAGGTGAAGGGCAGCCAGAATGACAGGTCGGTCCGCAGGACAGACAGCCGGCGGCAGTTAGCATAGAGGGACATGAGTGCCCCGGGATAGGCGGGATCAGGGACACCTGGCACTCACCCAGCAGGCCAGCAGGAGTAGCAGCAGGAGGTAGGGGTGGCAGGGCTGCGCGGGGGGCATGCCTTTGGGTTGCTGCCCCCCACATCTGCCAGGGGCCTTACGCCTGGGTCCTTGGGGTGTGCACGCCCCTCCTCGGGTTGCAGAGGGTCTGCAGAGTCCAGTGAAAGTCACAACCAGGTATGTCCTGCTTCCTAAAACCAGCCCTATTGATGACTTGGGGGTTGGGAGGGAGGGGACACAGGGGTGGTCCCCCATTCCAGGACTGTGTGGTTCTGTAAATGGCTTTACCTGGAAGTTTCCATCTGATAATCCCAGAACCCCCACCCCTCCCCCCATGCTGGTGACACCCCCAAAGCACAGAGGGGAACCAGCCTTCTCAGCTGCACACCTTCTGCTAGTCCCATGGGGTCCAGCGTGCCTTATACTCCTCACCCGGGCTCAACCCATGGGAAAGTGGGTTGGCCAGGCAACCCGCCTGGGGTGTCTCATGCCCCCCAAGGCCAGGTCAGCTCCTGGCCATGCAGGGGCCAGGTGTGTGGAACCCATGGTCCATGTCACGTACATGTCCTCTCCTGGGACCAGCCGGCCCAAATGGCCCTACAGCCTCAGGCATGGCTCAGGCAGGGGCTCTGGGTACCTGGAGCACCACAGGCTGGCAGCACATTCCTTTGAGATTAGCACTGCCAGAGGCTGGAGCCCAGACAAGGAACCCCTCCATATAAGGGACTGGGGGGCCACAGTGCTCAGTCCTGGGAGTGCAGGGAGGCAGCAGAGCCCTCTTTTGCTCTGACTGAATCCCATGGGAGAAACAGGACTCCCTGGGACCTGTCTGCTGGACCCCACTGTGAGGCCCCAGGGGTGTAATGGGCTCTCTCCTGCACACCCACAAAGGGAGGGAGACATGTAGACAGACAGACAGGACAGAAGACAGTGCCAGGGAGGACAGGGGTGTGCCACACCTGAGGGTGGGCACTGAGGGGCTGCGCAGAACCGAACCTGGCCCTCAGGTTGCACAGGCACAGTCAAGGCCAGGTCCTGAGTGAGCCAGGAGCCATGGGCTGGGGCCAGGGAGGGATCCACAGCAGAGCGGGGAGAAGGCAGCAGGTAGGTGGGGAAAGGGGTCACCACAGGGCCCTGTCTTCTGTTCTGAGGGGATGGCCCACCTGATGCTGCGGCCCTCAGCTCCCAGGTCTCCCAGAGGCCCTGGAGGAGGGTGGGTGGGCAGGCTTTGGGGGCAAGGGACAGAAGCTGGCCAGGGTTTGTAGGCAGTGAAGAGGTAGGCAGGGGCCTACAGAGGAAGATGCAGCCCCTGACCCTGCAAGGGGCAACAGCCCCCTGGGGGAAGGGCAGCCCAGCGAGGAGGCCCTGCAGCCCCTTGGACCCAGCTGTCCAATATCCCTACTGGGAAATGGGAGAAGCCAATGCCCTTCTTGCCAACTGCAGACTATCCGGACCTACAGAGCTGACCGTGGAGAAGGAATGGGCTGCCTGCACCAGATGGAAGCCACCCAGCTGGGGCTCTGTTAGTCTGGAAGCTCCTGGAGAAAAGCAGGGTCCAGAGGTGGCAGTGAAAGGCAGTGGGCTGCTCCCGGACCTTTCTTCATGCCAACGGTGGGCATTCCCCACGTCGTCCCACTCCCACCCCACAGAAGATGGGGAAGGGCGTGGTGTGGTGCTGCTCACCTGTGACCCCAGCACTCAGGAGCCTGAGGCAGGAGGATTGCTATGAGTTCAAGGCCAGCCTGGGCTACACAGTGAATTTGAGACCAGCCTGAACTACAGAGCAAGACCCTGTCTCAAAAAAAAAAGGAAACTCACCCCCTCCCAGAAGACAAGATGGGGAAGGTAGGGTTGGGATCCCCTGGGTAGGTGTCGGGGGGAGGACTCCAGGGACTCAGGCCTCTACCCTGGAACAGAGGCCCGGCCCCTCCCATTGGACAGAAGTGAGTGAGGCCCGCTCCATGGGGCGCGGGCGCGGGCGCGGGCGCGGGTGGAGCATGATTCCTAAAAGAAGACTGTTTGCTTAGTAAATAATTATCTCGAGCTCCACTTCCTTGGGGTGGGAAGGAGAAACAGTGAACATCATTTCAGGAGGACTACAAATGCGAGTGTCACGTAGAGAGCTGTTTTAGTTTACTTTTTGTTTTAGTTTGACACATTTGCTGTTTATTATCTAGTTCTCATTTTGTTTACATTTACAAAAGAGCAGTGACTTTCAATATACAGTACTTGTCTTGGCAGGCCAGGCTCAGGCACAGAGGCTGACGTGGC